GCCATAATGTAACGTCCCATTTTTCTATTGAATCGAGTCATTGCTTAGAGTCTCGAGTTCGATCTTATCCAAAACCCGGTTCGAGCTATTAGAGTTCCAAGTGGAGGTATGAATGAGAGGTAATTTGAAATCAGGAAAAGAGTGGACTTACGTGTTGAAGGAAATTAAAAAGATCAAAGTATAAGGATAGGACTTACTTGCACTTACTCGCTCCTTTAGGTATTAAGTTGCTAACATTATGACACTTGAGGACCATTTTGGTTACTTTTTACACCTTAAAGTCATTGATATCTTTTTGGAGTCTACCCGACGAGACTTCCATTTCACTTTCCCATTTTTTCACTCTCTCTCTCTCTCTCTCTCTCCTCTCATCATCTTCATCTCCTTCATTCTATCTTTATTTACTTTCCCTTGCTTTCTCATCAATTTTCATGGGATTCACAGCATTTAATTCAACTTCTATTCTATCAAGTAAGTAAACCTTCTTGAATTTCCATACTTGAATCATTTTGGGTGATATTTGTAGAGATAAATTATAAGAGTTCTTATGTTATAGGAGAGGTTGAGCTCAAAGTAGAAGAAAAAGCGCAGCTAAAAAGAAAGAAGCTTAAGCTTTTTGGAGTGAAGGTTGTACAACTTTTTAATTAATTTCCTTGCATAGATAGATATATAGATATGTGGGTGTGGCTCGCTGAATGAGAAGATATGTTGCTTAATGTTGAGTGAGAGGACTGGAAATGGTGAGAAAGCATGGAATGAAATGAATAAATGAAGTAGATATTGAGTTCATGCGGAAACAGGTTTTGCTGGAAAAGTAACCAGTAAATTCACCATGATTTTGACCCTAGTTAATGATGGAATTAGGAAGTGGCATAGAAGAGTTATTTTTTCCTCTATGTGTTAACTTTCAATGGGTTTTTGAATCACTCAAATCGGAGTTATAGATTGAGAGATATGACCAAAAGAGTACAGACTTTGCAGGCTGAAAAACATGACGCGCGCTCGGGAATTTCATGTCGAGCTCGCGAATTGTGCATGAAAACTCTCTGACTCTCATTTTGTGCTTCTCGCAGTCGAGAATTTCATTGCACGCTCACGAATTTGGCCTGTAAACTCACTGACCCTCATATGTGCTTCTCGCGCTCGCGACTTTGTATGGCGCGCTCGCGACATGTGTTTTGATGCTCATTTGGACCTCTTTTTCTATGCAATTGTATTCCTTTGCTCAACTTGTATGTCTCCAATCATTTTAAAACAAAAATTACAACATTTAGACATGTTATCAAAACAACATTGCAAGCATGCAAATGATGTGAAATGAGGTTAATTACTATGGTGGTATGAAGTTTATGAATTCTATGCAATTGTATTCCTTTGCCTTCACCTTGTATTGCCTTCAATTCATTTAAAACAAAAGACAACATGAACACATGTCTCCTCCTGCAAGCATGCAATGCAAGCATGCAAATGATGTGAAACTAACAGGACACAAGTTGCCCGCTTGGCAAGGCTATCAGCATACAGGTAAGCAGTAAGGTTTATGAAATTATGAAGCAATTAATTTCATGACACATGCATGCAAATTATGACACAAGCATGTGAAAAATAACATAACACAAGCATGCAAAATATGACATAGTTACTATGCTTTTGTTTTATTTAGTGACATACCATTAATATGCTCCATTGAGGTTAGGTAGAAACCACTTAGATAAGACTATGTCGCGACATAGAATAGCAGATCTGCGCCCCATACAACAGTTTGGTACTCCGGCTCACAGGCCCGTGAGTGGACTATGATCTTTCCTCTCGCGCCATAGCAGCCCCAGTACAGTATTCAAATACAGTTTCATACGCTCCTCTCTCTCTCTTGGTTTCACCTAATAAACCTTATTGGAGCTATACAGTTTACAGTTATATTGACTACAAATTACATAATCATACAGTATAATGAGCAGCAAGTACGATAATGAAAGTATCATGATATGTGTGCTTACATTCCATATGTGAGGACATGTTTATTTCTACATATGTATGGAATGAAATAAACATATGTATGTGCTTATATGTTTATTTCTACATGTTTATTCATTGAGTTTTAATGAAAGTTGCAGAATGCATACAACATAAAGAACACCAGGTAAGATCATGAAAGTATAATGCTATATATGCTTACAAGTTTATTTATTTAATTCTTAAGGAGCCATACATGTATGAGATGTTATTAATCATAACTTATATAATGTAACTAAAAGTGCATAAGGCATACAACATAATGAACAGCAAGTAAGAAAATGAAAATATACTGTTATGTATTCTTACATGTTTATTGATTTCATTCATACAACATAATGAACAGTAGGTAAGATCATGATAGTATTGTGTTAAAGATTCATGCCTTAAAGGAGAGTTATGAGAAGCGACGCTCTCTCTCTCTAATTATTTATGTTATGCATTAGAAGTTTTATTCTTTGCCCTTATAAAAGATATATAGATAGATTATATATATACTGAATCTATGATTTCAATGCTTCTATTTGAAATTTTGTATTTTCTCTCGCTCTCTCGCACTTTTATTAAGTTATTGACATTATGGCACCACTATATGAGCACCACTGAGTTTTATACTCAGCGCGTCGATTTTTATCACGCGTAGGTTGAAGATCATGGTTGCTACTTGAAGACTTGAGGAGTACTTTCAAAACAGAAGTGACGAATTTGGGAGTAGTAGATTGAATATGAAATATTTATGGCATGTATTAAGATTTATATCATGAAGAAGTATGGCATGGATTAAGATTTATGGCATGTATTAAATATTTATGGCATGTATAATTATTACATTTGTTAGAGCTTATGTGATTGGAAATATAAGTGAAACATGTAATTAGTTTGGTGTAAGTATTTGGAGGAAATGATAGAATATGAAATATTTTACTATAGTCGGTATGATTAGGTCATGAAGACTTGATATATATAATGAATGCAATTAATTGTTGGATATTAAATGCTATTGAGGATTTATACAATAATTATTGAAAGTTTGGAGTTTAATTTTGGGAGTGTTTTTGCTATTCATATTTAGCATACAAGATGATATCAGCATGACATGAACATAAAGATACACACACAGATTGTAGCGTTCTCGGCTCGGTTCATTCGGGTTACGCTCCCGGGAAAGGGATGTTACAATTTTTGGTATCAGAGCCTAGGTTTAGGCGGTTCTCGGGACTATCATTGTGTATATATATTGTAGGAATGTAGGAAGTTATCTGTTTTGCAGTGAGAATAGGAGTAATTGAAGTTAAAGACATGCCATATTGGTTTGATTGGAAACAACCAGCCATTGGAGAATGGTGTCGTAGTAAGTGGAGTATATATTGAGGTTACTATTGATGATTAATGGTTAGATCCTTTTGGACCATTATTCATGGAGGATATGCTTAGAGAATAATGGATAGGGAATTCGATGTAGTGGTTCTTGGAGATGAAATATTATTGAGGTGTTAAGGATTTGTGTACTTTCGTGAGTTGATATGAGTTCTCAATGTTATAAGTATTATGAGATGTATTTTGAAACTTTTATCTAATAGTGTTCGATAGCCATAATGAATGACTTGTAAAAATGTTTGTTCATGTTGACTCCAGAAGAAGCATAGTTTATGTTGACAGAACATAAGTTCCACCAGATTGTAGCGTCTCGGCTCGGTTCATTCGGGTTAACGGGTGGACCGGGAAGGGATGTTACACATAAAGAATCAATGTTCCAATTAGACTTCATTGTAAATAACTTATCTTATGAATAACCCAATTCGCACTTGAATATATGCCAATATCAACATGTATAATTATCCACCTTTTTATATACACCAAGTAATCGATCCTGGTTAAATTAAGTTAACAATTGTCTAATTAATTGACTAAGTCTTTCTACGGTTACATTATCTGCTATTCAAATAATTTAAATTCTTATTATTTAATTATATTCACTTCTATATTCAACTATTCCAACATAAAGGTCAAAATATCCTAAATGACTTGTATTTCTAATTTCTAGAATTAAGTGTGTTTATCTATCAAGGTTCCCTAGCAGGAATCATATTCAATTAAATTTTTTTTCTAGTTTATTAATTATGTTTCACATATATAGAATTATGTAGCTAACAGTTCTAATTGTATATTTGGAATCTACATGACAAATCCAATGTTTCGATTCCTTCAATTAACATACCGATCGAAAATCGAACGACAATTCACAATCAGCGCGAGGAGAAGAAATTTTTGTCTCTTGGTACCTCACCGGCGGCTGGCCGGCCGATCGCCGGACCAAAATGCTCGAAATCTCCCTGGCCAGCCACCGGACCAAAATGCTCGAAATCTCCCGGGGACTCCGATTCTGTGCCAAAATTAAATTTTCAGGTCGTTTCACTTAACAATAAACATCAATTATATCAATGATCTAATTTTTAATGTCGTTTCACTTAACAATAAACATCAATTATATCAATGATCTAATTTTTAATTTATGATAAACATTAATTATTTCAGTTGCTTTTTTTATTTAGATATAATTTTAATTTTGACAAGTTAATTTAAGTATTTACATATGTTTGATTTTCTTCCTGGTTGTAAATATTGTTTTTATTTTGCTAGTTTCAATGTGAGATGAAAAACGGAAGAATAAAAGAATTTTAATGCATACTTTTTTATTTCTGTCTCAAAAAATGATTTATCGAAATAATCAACCAACCAAGTGTATAAATTTCATATAATTTTACATGACTTATATTTATAATTTATTTTGTAATTTTTACTATTTTTCTTGAAATTTTTTATTCATATTTTGGTTATAATTTTATTATTTTTCTTGAAATTTGAAACAAATCACAAAAACTACCATAGCAGAAAAGCTCAATAAAAGAAAAATTATGAACTTTCAGTGTGTTTCTATGGCCCGATACCTGGGCCAACTTCAAATATCTCAAATAAAACGTAGATCGGGCCAACCAATAGTATACCTCATTCATAATATAGGCTACTGATTCATATGTATCTTAGATAAATATTTAGGACATTCATAGCTTAGTACACCTATTAAAACAAGATTACATATGTATCTTAGATAAATATTTAGGACATTCATAGCTTAGTACACCTATTAAAACAAGATTAGTGATACATAAAATCCTAAAACTGCGGAATTCAATAATAGCTAGAAGTAGTGAAACTCTTACATATAACAATACCTAAATTAGATAAATATAAAATTAGAAATTTACTTCTACAGTCCCGCGGAGAAGATTACAGAGCTTCAAACGGACCGGTAGGGATTCTACTTCCTGACAAGTTAAATAAATAAAAAAAGAGTGAGTTTTGTAACTCAGTGAATAATAATAAATAATGCATATCACACATATTCACACAAAATGCATCCTAAAATACTGAAGTGAACACACAACCAGTCAAGCATACGACAGAACATCAGCACTCACAAATAATTTCATCTTCAAATAATCAAACAAGTGAAAATTAGCAGTGGCGCCACTGAAAACCCCGACGAGTCGTCCTCTCACATGGCCTGCCCTCTCAAACCTCGTCAAACAGTAGAGCACCGAGGAACGATTTCCCCATACATGGCCGATCGGTCTAATCCTCAGCTTGACCAGCCCTCTTCTTCTTTTTTTTTTTTAATACTATCCTTTTCTTTTCCATTACCAACAAGCGGCCTATAGTTTTTCATATCAGTATATCATCATGATGCACACGGGGGCGCCAATTCTCCTCATATATGGTCAGTGTATCGAAGGACCGCCTTCGCAACCCAAAAATGGTGGCCCACTTCATCCCAATTTTAATACAAACAAAGCACGAACAAATCACAGCATAAGGTAATGCAAACAATTCATTCAACGTATTGAACCCAAAATCGTCTTAATGCACAAATAAAAGAAATTAATATAATATTAACATTAATTAAAATTGTGATTATAAATGCCATAGAATGATATATATAATAATTAATTATGATATATATAAAAATGGAATATTATTTTATCATTTATATATGTTATATACTCTTTTTTTTAAGTAAATTGATATGCGTATGCGGATAATGTATGCACTATTATATTACTACCATAGATAAAAAAGGAAGATGCTCTATCTCGAATTTTGACTTTGAAGGAGCAGTTAGACGGGTCAGGACATCTATTAAAGAATTTAAAGAATACAAGGAAATGAATTATATCAGACAAATGCTAAATTTAAATAAGTAATTAAGGAATTTAATATAATGAAACTATCTAGTATCTAACATGCTAATACTAGAATTAATTTCTACCGAAATTTTGGCAACATCTCAACCTGAAATTTGGACTATCCACCTATTTAAAATATTAAAAATTTCCTTAAATTTTAACTCAATCGCAGATAACCAACGCCCTTCCGTCAGGCAATCAATCAAAGTTAGTTCCATCCTCCTATTAATTCAACATTTTATAAAATTAAAAATAAATTCAATCTAATCTAACTTAAATCCATACTTTTATTCCATAATATTATTATTATGAAAATTCCTCAAATTAAATTTATATGGTGCTGAATTTAAATTGCTTTAAATTAATTAGTCTTTTTAATCAAATCAACACTTAGTAAATATATTGGAAAAAACCAATACTTGAAACTAAATTAACTAAGCCACAAATACTAGAAATTAATTAATTATTTCGACCAAAACGGGAGTCGTTGGCTCGTTCTGAGCGGCTGTGCTCACCGGAGCTGCCAGGAGGAGGCCGCGACGTCAGCAGCTGTGTGGCTAGAGTCGCGAAAGAGCAGCGATCGCGACGGGAGCATCGCAGGTGTAGCTGTTGCTGCGCCAAAGCGGAAACAGAGGGAGGTGGACCGAGAGGCAATTTTGCGGCGCGATTCTAATGAGAGAAGAAAGGAAGCGACTGGCGGTGCACGGCAGGAAAGCATGGCGAGGGTGGCGCGATGAAGGCTCCGTTGAGCCTGTTTCTGTTGGTCGGAGACCAGGAGAGAGAAGAGAGAGAGAAAGAAAGAAACGGCAGGTAGGAGAGTAGTTGGAGGTGGGGATTGCCGTGACCGTAAAACGGGGGGGGGGGGGAAGGAAGAGAGAAGTGAGCGGCGCTGGAAATAGGGGAGGGGGTTTTCTAGAAGGTGTTTGGGTTGGTTTGACTGATTTGTTTATCCTGATTTGGTTCGTCCAAATCGTTAATTTGGTGTGGTTTTGCATTTCCAATCGGTTTGATTCAGGTTTCTATTAAACTGTGGTTTGGATTCAACAATACGTTAATTATTTACATTTAACTGATTAAATAAATTCATAGGGTGTTAATTTATTAAATTTTTTAAATGAAAAGTTTTGAAAATAATCAAGTTTCGGATATCATTTTAAATTTAACTTAGTTCTTTTTAATTTTTAGTAATCATAACTTTTCGATTCAACTTATTCTTGGATGTTTTAAGTCTGTGGGCTTTATAGTTTAGGGAATGGGCTTCAGGGTCTTCAAGATTTAATTTGGTATTTAGTTAATGATGGATATACGGTGTTTATGAAAATTACAGAAACTTAGAAAAGCAAAAGCCAAAACAACTCAAAGCTAAAAATAAATAACATCGTGGGCAAGAATTATTGTCACCCCATTTCATGATAAAAAGCACCTGAATCCTTTAGCACAAAAGCCTCACTGTTATTCAAAACAAGAAAAAGGTGATGTGTGCCTACCAACTCCTTATGGCCAATGCATCCGCCAAATTATTGCAAGATCTGCCTACATGCCTCCAATTTATTAAGTGTATATTAAGCAATGAATTATCAAATTTCCAATATAAAGGCTTGAATAAAATTATTTTTTTATATCTATTCGGATTTATATATTATATTGAAAATATTAAATTACAAAAAATCAAGGGCTTGGTGACTAGAAAAATGGAAAAAAAAAAAAAACTCGATGGCTTATTTAATGAGCCCCAGCAAGAGTGTCAGGGTCCTCAAAAAGATAAATAAAGTTGGTGAGAAATGCCGAAGAAATCTCTACCATATTAGTTGCATCTTTTTATTGACGGTTAATGAATAGCTTTAGAATCACCAGAATGAATTTTCGTTCAACATTGTTTAATTTATATATGGTGTTTAGGGGAAAAGGAATTTCATGTGATTCCCATGTCTGTACCTAAACATAAGCATTAGGCAGAAAGTTATAATAAGTATTTTATAATTTTATTAAAATTTTATTTAACATTTATAAATAAAAATTAATAGTGAAGCAAGGAAAACATAGTAAATATTGTGAAGCAAGGATGCAGTAATTTTTTGTTTAGGCTTTGAACTTTAATAATTTCCACAACCAATTTAAATTTTGAGATAATATTAATATTTTGGCTGATATATATTTTCAATTTTTTAATAGGTTAAAAAATTGCTGTATGGGTCACAATGGTTTAATGATGGCTGTGTCGGCCAAATATCTTGGTGAACATTTTCTCCTTCATGGTGGCAACCGTAAGCAGCCATGGAGTAGTATAATAGTCTTCGGTTTGATCTGGATTTATGAGTTTAAGTTCAACCGAGAATAGAACTGGGAAATTTGTTAAGATAAATTGAGTTTATCTAGTTATTTTGAATGAAATATGTGATTCTTGAAATTTATCTGCTCGTTCATGACTTGTAGAATTATATTTTAACAATTTTGGGCTTTAATCACCCTACAGACCAACAATATATAATAATGAATTAGAGTAAGGATAAGCCTAGTGAGAAACGGAGAACTAGTTGCTTGTCAAGATTTTTATGTGAACTATTATATTTACATTTTTGTCGTTTCTTAAGAAAATTATTTTAATTTATATAATTTATTAATTAAATGGAGTAAATTTGACTATATTATTTTATTCGTAATAAATTATTTGAAATTTTGAATCTATAGCAATTAATTAATATTTTGGATGAAGAAGTAATTAATAGTCGTTTTTTTAATTAAATACAACTTGTTAGCATTAATATAGCTCTAATTGAGGGAAATAGATTGTATACTGTTTTGAATGCAATACTAATTTTAGTATTAAAGAAGGTGAGACGATATGGACTTGGGCTTATGCGAAAGATAAAATCAAGTAATGTTTATTATTATTATTTCATTATACTTTTTTTTGAAAACAAACAAGTAATGTAACGTTGGTGATTCGGGAGTTGGTATTGTCTTCATGTTTTGAGGATGTCCGTAAATGGATTATATTGTGGAATCATTAACTCCGGTCTAGGATAGTATACTTTTCCGGTTCTATAATTGTAGCTAGTAGCATATTAGCTAATAATATATCTTAAATATTTCTAAGTTTTTCTTTAATTCTGATTATGGTTGACAGTTGCTGAAGATTAACAATAGTGATATTGTTGTTTTAGAAATATCTAAAAACCAAAGTTCGAAAAGGTTCATTGATGAGTAAAATAGAATTTCTAAGTCAATGGTGGGGGCAAAAGGTTTCATATACTTAGCTAGATCTGATTTCCATAACCGTACGTGGATGAATCAGAACACTTTGTATTACCCTCTGCCTAATTTAGGTCAACAAATCCAATTCTTTGAAAGTTTTTTGTACCTAGATGAGCAAGTTAAGATATTTGTGAGAATTTAAAAAAAAAAAAAATAAATGAATAATTTTCACCAAGATAGAAACAAAATAAAGAGACAGAGACATCATTTTCGTTATTTTATTTCTCTTAAAGCTCATCTTGTACCCGAAATCAATTAGGAGTAGTAAATATTTTTATTTATTATATTACAGATTTGAATAGCTGAAATAAAACACGAACTCTGGGTCGAGAGGCCCTTAGAACTCGAGACCTCCCACTCCTCACACTATTGAAGGGACCAACCAGATCATTAAATGATGTGCTATGAGTTATCATATTTATGATTATAACTTAGAATATTCTTTACCGATCCAATCCATATTTTTAATTCAATTATAAGTTTTTTATTCAAACCTTATTGTTTGTATTTGGGAAGAGGGAAATTTAAAATAAAATAGAGGGAACTTAAAATAAGGATGGGAAAATTATACTATTCATTTTATCTTTTTTAATTATTTACAGGTCTTTGTTCATCGATGTAAAATAAAGGTGTAAAATATCTGAATTTTCTATCAAGTCATGAAATAGTTAACATTTCAGCCCATTATTACTATCCTCGCTCTATTTGAGAGAAAAGTTGTAGATAATAAATAATAAATTTATTTTTACACATACTTATGAATTTTTACCTAAAATAAAAAAACAAGGTGAATTTGAAAATTTAAGGCATTTTTCAGTCTTCTATTTTGAGATCCATCCGAAATCAAAGCATTAAACTCATAATGGAATTTCCGATTACTAAATCTAATGTTGCACCAATTAATGTGTCATTTTGTCAATAGTGGTGGTGCTTCGGTTTCTATAAATTAAGCTGAGATTGATTCTAACCATAGAGAATCAGAAACACTTGTAGACATTTTCTTCCTGCTGCAAAAAAAAAAAAAAAAAAAAAAAAAAAAAAAAAAAAAAATGCAAGCCCATCACAATC